CTAATCATGTGCTGTCCTGGTGGTGGTTATGTGCCGTAGAGTCGGAACCAACTCATAGCGACCCTGTACAGGGTTTCCAAGGCTGTAAATTTTTAGAGGCCGAGGGATGCTGCTACCAAAGATGACAGAGACTCCTCACAGGGAGGAAAAAAGACCCCCTACAACCGTGGCCACCGGCGTCAGCAGAGGGCTCACCCCCGCTATCGGCAGCCTCGGGGTCTTCCTCCGCTTTCCGCTTGAGTTTCTGCGAGGCCGGGCTCACAGGGGCGTCCCCCAGCAGGTACTTCCGTTCCTGGCCCCGCAGGTGCTTCAGGTAGCGGTCCTTCAGGGCCTGCCACGAGTGGAGGGTGGACGCGCTCTTCTCCATCGCTTTCCATAAGGCGTTGCCGGTGACCGAGTTGGGCGAACGCGCATTTTCCTGCACGTAGGTCAAGATGGCCACGTCGTCCGCCTCGGTGAAGGCGATCCGACCCGCGAGCGGTTCCGGATTGGACTCCTCGGCGGCGCCCTCGGCCGCAGCCCCGGGTTTTGTATCCGAGGCCGGGTCGGCCGCGGGCCCCAGCCGGTAGCTCTCCAGTTCGAGGCGCTCGTTGCGCTCCACACAGTCCAGGACGTACTGCGTGGAGATGAAGTCGCCCGTGGCCTCCGCCAGTGCCTCCCCGGGCTGGGCCAGCAACACCGCCCCAGGCTCCTGCACCCGGCAAAGTGTGCCACCGCCGTGCAGGATGAGCGTCGACAGCCGGCGCTTGGCGGGGCTGGGCCGCACGTAGAAGGACACGGAGCTGCCGTCGTCCCGCACGAACAGAGTCGGAGAGTGGGTGGGCCCATTAGGGTCTTTGCTCAAATCCAGGGCCTCCGCCATCGCTGACGCCAGGTACCCACAGCCGGACCCTCCAACGCGACGGAACAAAACAGTCTCAGCCACGCTGCCGCCCAATCCTGCGCAGTAGCAGCTGCGCACCAACAGTGCCCGCCCCCTCCTTCCCGGAAGAGGCGGGGCTTCGAAACCTGCCCTGAAAGTCGCGTGGGACTCTGGTCAGTTTTCAATCGGGCCCTCAGGGAAGATGGCCGCGGTACTGGAGGCTGAGGTGAGAGTGGACGGCGGGGAGCCGAAACTCAGTAAGAAGTAAGTGTCGCTGCAGAGCGCTAAAGCCCTTGCGATCGGAGAGTGTGAGCCGGGAAGCGCCTTCAGGATTCCTTCCGGGCGGCTATGCCTGGGGCCCTCCTTCCGGCTCTCGGGGACGCGGACCTGCCGGGACACAGTGCCCGCGCTGGGGAGATTACATTCCCGGGATGATCGGGGGGCCACCGCCTCGCAGGCGTGCCCTGCTCAATGTCGGCGCTGGCAAGGGCCTCCTTGTCAGACTCTTGGGGTAAGAGATGCATAGAAGAAACTGGCGTGAGAACTGAGAGGTGATTGAAGAAGGAAAGCGAAACTTAAACCTAGCTTTTCCTAAATTCCTCTCTCCTCTGGGAATACATTTTTGTATTTATTGAAACTGAAAGCATCCAGGTATTTCCGAAAGGCTTCAGCTTTTCCTTGGTTTCATTCTTTCAGACCCTTACAGGAATTGGATTAGTTTAGCACGTACCCACGTGGGTGAGGCAAAAGCTCTGCGAGTATTGCGTCACCAAAGTCCAACAGTTGTTCGTAGACTTGGAGTCGATTTCGGCTCATAGCGACCCTCTAGGACGCTGTCTTATCCAGCCGGGTATATTCGCTAAACAGTACACTGCATCTCAACCAGGGTTCCTCATTTGAACCCAGAACACAGGCAATAATTTGAGTAACTTTTCTCAGTGCTCCCAAAGATGCCATTCCAGAAGCATAGGAGGGAAATTAATTACTTACAGTGATTCACTTACTGCATAAGGGCATATTTCACCTGCTGAACCCAGATGGTGTTGCTCTAGAAACTCAATTTGCAAAAATGGATAGATACTTTGATCTCTGGGTTCAAATACACTAAATGAATGAAGAAGGAAATGTCTAAATGTATGGTTTGATAGCACCCTAATTTGCCTTTCGTGAGAGGGATCTGATGGGTCTCCATGTCTGGAACCTGGTCTTGGACCTTTGGACTGACAGAGAAAGGGATTGTACCTTGATCTGATGTGTCATTAATTGAATTCCAAGGCAGTAAATCGCAGATGCCTTGTTAGCAAAGTTTCCAGTGGGAAGTGGTATTTTAAGGTAAATTGAGGAAACTGGTCAATCCCTTTCTGCTGACTTTTCATAGAGTAATTATAGCTGCTACTTTTTTGAGCAATTTAAACGCTAGGGACCAAGCTTCTTGTTGTTGTTAAGTGCCATTGAGTCGATTCCGACCCATAGTGACCCTGTATAGGGTTTCAAGGAGCAGCTGGTGAGCTTGAACCTTGCAGTTGAAACGACTTTGCAGTCTGACACATTAGCCCACAGCTCCACATCAGGACTCCAGGGACTGAGCTATAACTATATAAATAGTAACCTTGTTTCTACTGCTGTCATTAGGTACCATGAGTCCATTCTGACTCAGAGCCACCCTGTGTACAATAGAACAAAATACTACCCAGTCCTGCTCGGATAGTGCAGCAGTTTAAGTGTCAGGCTGTTGACCAGAAAGTTGGCAGTTCAAACCTACCAGCTGCTCCCCAGAAGAAAGATGGAGCTATCTGTTCCCATAAAGATTTACAGTCTCCAAAACCTAAAGAGCAAATCTACTCTGTTCTATATCTATGTGCCAGGCAGTATGCTAGAACTATGCAAGTATTCTATCTAATCTAAATAATAGCCTTGTGTTTGCTGTTAGGTGTCATCGAACCAGTTTCGACTTATAGCAACCCTATATACAACTGAATGAAACCCTGTCTAATCATGTGCTGTCCTGGTGGTGGTTATGTGCCGTAGAGTCGGAACCAACTCATAGCGACCCTGTACAGGGTTTCCAAGGCCGTAAATCTTTACAGGCGCAGAAAGCCTCATCTTTCTCCCACGGAACAGCTGGTAGTTTCCAACTGCTGACCTTGAGGTTGGCAGCCGGATTCCTAACCACTATGCTACCAGAGCTCCTATGCTGTCCTAGGGAAGTGTTAATGTCGGTTTCTCAAATGAGTGAACCAAGGCCCCTGGTGATTGCATTGTTGAAGTGTGCATACCTAAAGCATGCTTGAGCACTGAAGCCAAAATGTAAACTCTGAAACCAAGGCTGTAACTCTACAACCCATGGAGTAGACCAACTATCCCATATTGCCTGCCTTGCATTGTCTATGGGAGTTGGCTATTGGTACTAGATAGTCCTCTAGTTACCATGAACTAAATTATGGTAAATTAACATTTCCTTCTGTTTCCTAACTGTTCTTGGAACTTTCTTGGTATTAAACCTTGAGTGAGCAGCATTTTTTTGTCAGGTGTTTTCCTCAAGTTTAAAAACAGTTTCGCAGCCTGCTGTGGTGATTAAATCACCTTGTTTTTTGCTTGAACAAGTAAAAAATACAAAGGGCCTTCCAAATGTTCAAGGCGAAACTTGCATTCCGTTTTTCTGTGAACTTTTTGAACTCTCCTCATAGCATCCCTGAAATATTGTTGCCTTCCAGCATTAATAATGTATAAATATAATCTAGTCTTAGACCCTGACATTCTCCTTTTCCCCTTGTTTCTAAAGCTCCAAATAAGTTTTGTGTTTGGCTCGGAGGTGCTTCTGTGTGGCTTGCTTTTCGCTTCATCTGGAGTGTACACTTGATAGAGACATTTTCCTCTTGTTCTACCTGTTTCCCGTTGCCATCTTTGCTTCCAGGAGAGAAACCACATTTCAAGGGCTGCGGAAACACTCATGTCTTGACTCCCGTTTTTTACAGCATTGCAATCGGTGTGATCATGTCTCCTTGTAAACGTGATTGATTTTCTATTGAGTTTTGGCCCTCAATGCACAGTTTTACAGCCATGACTGAAAAAAACCTTATCAGTTATTGTGTTCAGCACAGTGTGACAGTGTAGTTACCTCTGTTAAGTGAAAGGAGACATTAAAGATAGAGCAAAGCACTCCACCCCACCCCAGTAAGCAGAAGAATGTTGGTTGGGTGTGTGTATGTTGTCTGTCCAATCTGACATCTGATACTGCATCTCTGTGTTTCCTGTTAGGTGGTGGTAATCACTAGTTCCAGGGTATTCTGCCATGTTGACGCAAGCTGCTGTAAGGCTTGTTAGGGGGTCCCTGCGCCAATCCGCCTGGGCACAGTGGGGTCAGAGGGAGCTGCGACGGGTTCAACTTACTCCTTTCACAGCATTTCACAAGGACAAGCCACTTTCTGATAAAAGAAGGTTGGTACCACTTACCTTCTTTTTTGCTCTGGTAGCAAAAGCCTTTTCCTTTATTTAGCTCCTTATCTGCTTAGCAAGGCTAAGTGTTTGGGCTTGTTGCTAAGGAAACAAAGAGCCTGGCTACCAAAGCCTGTCGTCTTTCTCATTTTCTCTCTCCCTAGAGTCTTGGAATTGCCTGCAGCTCTTACTCTAAACATGACTGTGAGCAGAACGGTTTTAGGAATCAGAATTTTTAATGAGGCTTGTTTTCGCTTTCCTGTCTTTTCTTGGGATTTGTTTGCTCTTGAGGTTAATTTGTCTTCTAGTTTGAGTGCTTTCCCTAGGACTTTTTAGGTTCTGTGTAGGATTGACTTGACTTACAGAGCAACACCTAGTTGAATGAAAGCAGGTCTGTCATCCTCCTAAGAAGAGTTGATAGCCTTAGCTGCCTGATAATATCATTGAACTAGCACACTGTTCTGAGAAGGCTGTCCACGCAACAAATCATAGTCTGCACATACTTGGAAGCCATCAGAATCTGTTTTTACTTTAAAGAGGATCACTCCCAATCCTACCGAAATTTGTTTTGTTTTGTTTCTAATTGAGTTATTCTAAACTTACTGAAAATGATGGATGTGTCCTGATAGCAGACAAAATGCAAGTATGATTCAGGATCACTTGTCATGGTTCACCGTTTCACATTGTTTGAAGATCTTTGCTTGATGATCTTTGCTGGCTTGAAAAAATGATCAATCAATTAAATTCTCTTTGAGTCTTATTTGGCTCCTAGGTTCAGTTCTTTCATGTTCAGATAGCAAGTTCAGGGCATACAGGATACCAGGTTATGCAAATGGCTTTGGTTTCTGAATCAAAGGTAACAAGTATCATGAGTTTGGGTAGAGAGGGATTTGACTCAAAATTTATCTGAATCTGCACAGTTCATGTCCTGGCTTCAAAGAGGGAAGAATCCTGGTAGTGAGGGATCACGGAAAACTAACATTGAAGTGCTTACTAAATACCAGGAACAGAACTTTCTCTGTTGACAAGCACTATCTCAAGCCTTGTAACAGCAGTGGAGCCGTGGTGGCGTGCAGATGAGTTGTTTCCTCCTACTACTAACTCTGCACACGTTTTCCAAGGCAGTGAATCTTTACGGGAGCAGAACGCCTCATCTTTCTCCCGCAGAGCAGCAGGTAGCTTCAAACTGCTGACGTTGCAGTTAGCAACCTAACATGTAACCAGTACGCTATCAGGACAGGGACTCTATCTATTATTTCCATTTTCAAAATGTTCCTGGAAAACCCCATCATCTTTCAATTCTATTTTTCCACAAACTTTTTGAAGCACTCTCCATCCAAGGCTGAAAGAAGGGAAGCCATTTGCCTCAGATCATGTAACTGGTAGGTAGGTGGGTGTACAAGGATTTAGTCCCAGGCATGCCGACTGCTCATGTGTCATCTTTCTGCCCAGTTTGTTGCCAAAACCAAACTCCCTTGGTCTCTCTTGGAGAGATTGTCCACAGGGTTTCTCCTTGAGCACCTCTGAACTAACTCACCATTCCTGTGGAAGGGGCAAGGTGGCTGATATAGCTGGAGATGTGGCCGTATCAGGCATCTGATCTCCAGGACATGCCAAGCGATTAATACTCAGCCCTGGTCTCCAGGAAAGGAGCCCTGGTGGAACAGTAAGTTAAGCATTGAGCTGCTAACCCAAAGGCTGGCAGTTCAAATCCAGCACCACTCCAAGGGAGGAAGACAAGGCCGTCTACTGGGTACCAATTTATACTTTGAGGAATCCTATGGAGCAACTCTACTTTGTCCTTACAGGGTCTCTATGAGTCGGAACCTACTCGGCAGTGGTGGATTTGGTTTGGATTTTGGTTTGAAGGTTCACAAGGAACCCCCAGTCTTAATTATCTTGAGAAAAGCCTACCCTGCTGATTTTCTAGAAAACCTATTTTTTTTATTCAAAATAGAAGTTGCTATTTAGGATTTTATTTGTCCAGATACATCCTGTTTTTTTGGGACTCAATGCCAAAGACTTAAGACTAGGAAGCAGGTGATCTTTTGCATCTTTGCTCAAATCTTTTTTTCTATTTCTTTCATCTATAGTTTAATAACTAAGAGACTAGAGGTGGGATGTGAACTTGAGGATACAGACCAAGAACATGTGCCCCAAGGAATTAATAGTTTTGATAAGTGGCTATGGGGCGAGATAGAGGATTCTTACAGCAACTATCACATTGAACATTTCCATCTTCCCTACAGTGAGCTCAAGAGACGCCTGAAAGCCGAGAAGAAGGTAGCAGAGAAGGAGGCCAAACAGAAGGAGCTCAGTGAAAAAACACTAAGCCAGCCTGCTACTGCGACCGCCAACCACACCGCTGACAATGGTGTCAGCCCTGAGGAGGAGAGCTTGGACCCAAATGTGAGTCTCCTCAGCCACCAGCCTGACTAGGCACAGGAGAGATTCGGAAGAGGCTTAAGGAGAACTCCTTTGGACCAGACAGAAAGGACTAGTGACTATCTAATTAGTCACTGGAATAGGCACTTACAGGCCCCAGGTTCCTGCCATGCCATCTGGTTCAAAGCACAGGCCCTGAGCATTCATTCACACTGACTCCTGACAGACATTAGAGAGAATCCAGTACTCCCAAGTGACTTATGAATCACCTCCAGAAAAACCATCTCGCTAAAAATGGACTCGGATTGACTATAGACCAAATCCGCAGCCTTAGCCCACATACCTCTTTGTGTATAAGCTTGTATTAGAACCCAGCCATGGTAATTTGTCTACCTGTAGCTAAGACTGTGGCCCCACTACTACCACAGCAAAGTTGAATAGTTGCATCGGAGCAAAGTTGGCTGGCCCCTGCTGTAGGTATTCTATTTATCTTGTTCAGGCCCCTTGGTGCCGGGGACTTGCCTCGACATAGTTGTGTTGTTCACGAGTGTTTGGTTCACGAGGAGGGGAGATCCAACGGCGATAGGGATAGCGAAAGAATACACAGACAAACAGAAGAAGGGAGACAATGAGGCACCCCAAAGCCAGGGTGGATACATCACTGGTGGGCAGGCTTGGGACTACAGGCATCGTGGCCTCTGCAGGCAGCAACTCACTGCCCTGCAGTCTTTACTGCATGCCTTCTAACCAGTAATGCACTGCAATCTTCACTGCAAGCCTTCCAACCAGTAATGCACTGCAATCTTCACTGCAAGCCTTCCAACCAGTAATGCACCGCAATCTTTACTGCAAGCCTTCCAACCAGTAATGCACACAATCTTTAAGATAAATTAAGCCAGTAAACCTTACTTAAACCAATATTCCTTTCTTCCTTACTGGGTTTAACCTTCACTTGGATCAAACTGATTGAACCCAGGGTGGTCCAAGGGCGTTGCCCCCATTGTCCTTAATCCCATATTCCCAGAATTTACCGCTCCACCCAAAGTGAATATACCCCGGGCAATTCCTCTCCAGAGCCTCCCTGCTTAATCCCAGTAAACCTGTCCTTGTTCGTCCTCTGAGGAAGTTTTACTGCCTTGGTTCTAGGGGGAAAATCTTGACCTTAGAAACTTAGGGGAATATTGCATTTCTCTGTGGACATCCAGGGCTCATGTTTGGAATTAAATAAATATAACTGAACACTAAGATGAAAAACAATTTGCTATTAACTGCCAATTGGCTAGATCTGTTACACTCAGGCCTATAGGGCCTTGAACCTCTGCACGGTCTGCAACACCTTGGGCTGCCTTGGGAGAGTCTGATGTGTGGCCAAGGGTGGGAGGATAGGAAAAAAGATAAGTGATTGACCAACTCGATGCAGTACAGGAAAGTGGAAGCCAAGACCACCTTTGCCAATTAAGTGTTATCATTTCAGACCGAACTCCAGTTCTTTCTTTTGGTTTATTCTTATATTATTTTTGTAAATTCTGTCCATCATTTCCAATAATGTATATGGCCAGTCTGCGTATTTTAAATTCGAATCTCACTCCATATTCAATCCTGAGCTTTCCAAAGTTGGGACCGGGCTCAGTTTGAGAAACCTGAGTGTAATTGTGCCGCTTGGAAGCAGAGTGCAGTGTGCTGCTCGCTGGGCCACGTGTCTACAGGGGCCACTTGTTGAAGATTCTTGTCTCTATTTCTACAGCAATACTACAAGATCCGCAGTCAAGCCGTCCACCAGCTGAAGGTCAGTGGGGAAGACCCATACCCACACAAGTTCCATGTGGACGTTTCGCTCACTCACTTCATCCAAGAGTACAGTCACCTACAGCCTGGGGACCACCTGACTGACATCACCTTAAAGGTGGCAGGTAGGAAGATTCGCTGGCAGTTTGCTGAACTCCTGCAGCAGGCAAACCTCTTCAGTAGAGCAAAGCCAAGGTTTTCCTCTCCAGAAGCCTGCTGACTGAGGTGACTGTACTAAGGCATTCATATAGGGGACAAAGTGACGAAAATGTCTTAGCCATAGCCAAACACCTTGAAGGAATGAATTGCTGGGCCTGAGGCGTCAAGCTATACTCTTAGGGGGCACCAAGGTTAATTGGCATAACATAATCCACAAAGACTGTGTTCTGTATTCTGCTGTGGTGAGTAGTGAGTGGGGTCTTGAAAGCTTGTGAGCGGGCTATCTAAGGTGCATTTATTAGTCTCTTTTCATCCGGAGCAAAGAAGAGTGAAGAAAGTCACAGGTGCAAGGAGAGAGTTAATCCAAACGGTTACTGGACCATTCGACCCAAGCCTCGTCAACCCTGAGACCAAAAGAACTAGATGGTACCAGGCTACCATTATGACCTGCTCTGAAAAGGGATAGAGTGGGAGAAAAATGTGGATTAAAACTCAAATTCATTAAAAAAAAAAAAAAAGTCCAGGCTTTCTGGTCTGATAGAGACTGGTAGAACCCCAGCGACATCCTTCAGGCCTGGAACTGAACTCACCCCTATGGGTCAATTTGCAGCCACACAATAGGCTGATCAGGTGAACAGTAACCCCAGGGAGGTGTGCATTCCTCTGTAAACTTCCTCCCACATTACACTCACGAGTACAGCAGCCTGCACTTGGAGTCATGCCTAGCTAGGTGATGCAGAGAAAGGGGCATTTTCCTGGCCTGTCACTGCTGTCACTTCCCTTGATGAGGACTTCCCTTCATCCCTGGGACCTGTGACTCCAGGGTCTTAAAAAGTCCAGTCTTTGGCCTGGGAATACTTTAATACTTTGTACTGAGACTTTCAGTGTTTTTGGATTATCATATCTTATGTGGGTTCTTTATTTACCATGTTACTTTTTTTTTTTTAATTCACTGCCTTACCAAAAAAAACACCTAGCAGTTGTAGAACATACAAAGAAGAGAAGTTTCAGTAGCCATAACCCTCCCATCCAGAGAGCATGCTTTGTGTGTGTATACGTGTAATGCATAAATACAGCTGTTTTTTTCTTTTTGCAAAAA